TTTTCAAATTATAAACAAATTTATTTTCTACGATTTTGAAGGTACACATGTCAGGAAACTAGTACCCATAGTGAGCTTGATAACAAAGTTGGGTTGAGTTGACATTAAATTGCCTTGTACGACAATGAAGCAAAACGATTTCATCAATATTTGAAATTAGTGCTACATGCATATGTGTTGTACATAGTAATGTTTTTACTCTATTACTTTGGCTTATCTGTAACATTTCACATGTGCCTCTTGAACGTTGTTCCCTGAAGTAGAGCCTCCTAGAAAATACAAAACCAAAAAATTAAGTACCTTGTATGACATTTTTTTGGGATACAAGCTACCCGTTGGTTAACAAGAGGGGGACCAAAGGTGACATAGCAGTAGTACACTCACCTCTGAGGGTCAAGGGTTGGATTCCTGGACTAAGCATTGCATGTGAGTAGATCACTGACTGATTGCTTTGAGGGTTTTTTTCTCAGGGCGTTCTTTACAGTTAGTATAAAGTTTCACGACTGGTTTAAAAAATATTTTTTAGTGGCCAAAAAAAGTGGTTTTCCTATTTTCATCATTCAGTTGGAATTTAGAAGTTCATTTAAAAATTAATATTACAGGGCTTTAAAAAATGGCCAGTCAGTTTCCAGAGACAAAACACTGGCCAAATTAGGTTTAGCTTGGTCATATGACCAAGGCCATATAAATCAGTTGCCATAGCAACAGCCTTGGTTCCAGGTTACCACTGCCTAAAATTCTAGTTTTTATGTTTCTGCCATTAAAAGAAATGGCATCTAATAAGGCTAGGTTAAAATATCTGTTATGGTCATAGAAACGAATTTAATCAAACAATTTTCTGCTAGGTAGAAAAAATATGCAGTCAAAGCCTGCATGTGAATACTGCCATTTTCAACATCATGAAGATTTCATGACTGGTGAAGTCATATGTGTAAGCAATGTCCGGCAACGTATGTCTGTCCAAGTTTGACTGACAGTGGTCAAATATTTGTAGAGTTATTACAGTTTTAATGTAGCCACATGATTGAGATATCATGTGTCACATGATTGGCACCCATGTGTAAGCAATGTCTGGCAATGTATGTCTGTCCAAGTTTGACCGACAGTGGTCAAATATTTGTAGAGTTATTACAGTTTTCATGTAGCCACGTGATTGATGACGTCATATGTCACATGATTGACACTCGTGTGTAACAAAGTCTGGCAATGTATATTTGTACAAGTTTGAGTGACAGTGGTCAAATATTTGTAGAGTTATTACAGTTTTTATGCAGTCACGTGATTGATGACGTCATATGTCACATGATTGGCACCCGTGTGTAACAATGCCCGGCAATGTATATCTGTACACGTTTGACTGACAGTGGTCAAATATTTGTAGAGTTATTACAGTTTTTATGTAGTCACGTCACAACAACGATCTGATTGGCTCCGAACAATATCTGAAAGCATATCGGACAAAAATCGGTATTTGATTTGGGTTTCCTTTGGTATTTCATTCATGCACTCAACAAGATGACATGGCTACGCTTCTATCGAAACAGTAGTCACAAAAATAACAAGGCAATGGCTGAAATGGGCCTGGACACCAGTGTGTTGTCATAGCAACTACAGTTTGTACATGCTCCATGCTTTGAATACAATTATAATTAAATGTTTGAACAACATTCATCAAATACTCTCAGATACATACTGATGAAAATATGGCATCATTAATCTTCTAATTAGCATTAACTTGAAGCTTGAATATCTTAAGAACCTTTTTGAAAAAAGCTTTAGCATGTGTATAAATAGTAAAACTTGGAGATATTCTATTGTAGTGTCACTTGAGGCCCCACAATATATTATTTGGAAGAATAGGTTGATCTGGCACACAACTCAATCAAACCCTGTTTTTTTCCTCTGGGTTCTCCAATATTTATCTTTCCTTGAGACTCTAACAATCTAAATTTCAATTCTATGTTTTAATTAGCTGCACAATGACTCTGATCAGCTGTGAGTTTGGTTCTGGATATGGATAACAGGTCTGAACAGAGACTTTTTCAAGGAAATGATGGCACAATATGAACATTTGGTAAGAATTCTTTAAGAGAGCATATTAATTCATTTCCCTAAAAAGCTGTAAGCATTATGCTATTAACAAGAACAAACTAGGTCAGCCATTTATAGAATAAAGCTAAACGATAATATATATTTCTTAAAATAAGGTGACTGTACTTTAAGTTTGTTCAGGAAAAAGCGTCAATATAACATGGTATTGTATTGGTAGAAAATATATTCACATATTAATATTGGGCTATGTCACTTTGCAAATTCACCAAAAGCGAAATAATCCATACCCTTGCCCCACTATGTGGCAATGTTTTTAAAAGACCCCCCTAGCCCTAAAAATTCTATTATCCTGTCATACAAACTGTATTGTTCGTGCTCTAACCCCCCACCTCTTGGACGTTTTGTGTGTGTGTGTGGGTATGTGTGTGTGGGTGGGTGGGAGGAAGGGGATGGAGATGGATAATTTCTGGAACTATATAATATGCAATGTATTTTCTCCCACCAGTCATCAAAATTTTGTCATCTCAAAATCTAAATTAGTTTACATTGCATTGAAATTTTTAGAGCCAAAATACGTTTAAAATATAGCATCAAGTGATGAGAATCGTTTTCAGCTTGCAAAATAATATTAAAGTCGAAGCAATTGATCAAGCGAGTAGTTCTTTAACACAACTAGTAGTTTATCCCTTTGAATAGCTGAATTGAATCAAAGCATGAACAGTAAACCAAAATAATCTATCGCCATGAAGTTCGAAGATTCTTAAAATTCTTCGCTTAGAAGTCATTAACATCTTACTTAAAAATTCTTGTTTGCGATTACCATGGTTAATAAATATTTATAGTTCTACTGTCTTTAATTCAGGGCATCTGACCTAATGCGGCGATGCGATTTCGCAAATTGACCTAAAAAAAATCGCATAATTTGCCAGAAAAAACGCACATTTTCAACTACAATTAAACGACATATCACCAAGACTTTTTAAAATATATATGAAAACAAACCATTTTTAAGTAAAACTAGCAAAGACCATCGAAAACTCCACAAAAACAAGCGCGACTCGTACGATTTCTTCGTTCATCCACAAGGCGTCACTTGCACAGCAGAGAAAAGGGACTGGCACTAGTTTTGCTCTAACACCACTCGCTATTGGCTGATTTGATCCAATCAGTATTGCTGTTATATAATTTATAATAACAGGTGCTTTTTATGCCTTTTTGCTATAATACTAGTGAAGTAAAATCGAAAAAAGAAGCTTGTTTTTGTCAATAAGGAAGCTATATTTTGAAGTTAGAATTAGAAAGAGCATTATTTACAATAACTTATAAATCATCATGTAGTGAAAAAGTATTTTGATTGACAATTTTGAGGACCATTTTGAACAAGAATAAATGTTTATTCAAGTCCAGATACACAAGCACTGTGGCTTCAGCTAAACAAGAAAAGGCAAACAAAAGATCACACCTCCCAGTGAATATTACCGTAAAAGACAGGGCAAATAAATACCGTGAAGACACTTTTTATGCCGACAATGGTATGTTGTTTTGTTCATCCTGCAACATTGCCATCAATCCTTTTCATTAATGCATGGTCGACAATCATCTGAAATCAGATGCACACAACTAGAATGCCACCTAAAAGCATCATAAAAAGCAGCAAACAATAAAAACAAGCTTGAAGAGCAAAACACCTGCAGAAGTTGAAAACAATGAAGACCTCTGGGTGCTATTGCCCTTGAAGTTCATTGAAAATTCTTAGAAATATTTGCTTCTAAGTAATTCCTTAGAAATTGACTTGAAATCCTTGCTTACGATTACAGTATTGATAGTTCTAGTTTGGCTGTCTTGAATTACAGCAATCAATGAAAAAGAGCATTTCAACACATTAATTTATGTCACATGATTGGTTGGTTCTGCCCTCTCGTAATCATTTGGCAACATGGTGTTATTTATTGACAGCTTGTACCTGCTAATACTGTAGACCAGAACTCTATAGCAGAAGCCCACAAAGGTTCCTTGTGTAATGTCCTGAAGACCCCTGGGTACTATTGTGCAACTTTCCATAGCATTGAGTAAAGACCCCTACAACCAGTATTCTATCATTCACTGGCTGCACCACAACCCATTGCTATCTGACTTCATTATATTCTTACACTTTGGTCTTAAACCTCTCTGTATGTTCCATTCACTGCCACAACCCATGGTTTTCTTAATGTCCTTGTATTCATATAACCAATCAATGCTTATATTCATGGCCACAGGCTAATGTACTTTAAATGAAAATAATTGTTCAATAAAAAAACAAACTATTAAGTTCAATGTCAAAAAATAAGAACTCTCCTGTTCAAGTTGTCTTAACATGTACATAATTAAGCATGGCAGGTTTCATCCAAGTGCTATTTTCAAGTGTAATGCTTCCATACACAACACTAAACTGTGAGTATTATGTAAACAATCAAATGATATTCAAAGAAAGCAAGCATGTTCAGATCCAAAATGTTTCAGTTTTGATGAGCAGCACTCACTCATGAAACCTCTCACAGCAGATAGTAATGTTTTGCTACGCTGTATCTTCATGTGCAAGAGTAATACACGTAACATACCAGCAAATACAGCTATCAAAAAGACTGGGGGAGCAGAGTAAATCATTCATAATCATCTCCAGATATGGTTACTTGCCTGAAATTAAATTAAAGGAAATCATTAATCATGTATTGATCTATATCAAGACTGATTAGATGAGTCAGTCTAGGCTGAATTTGTTTGATCTGCTAACGAGTCCATTGCTTAAATCAATGGCTGCTCAATTGGCAGCCTTGATGACCAGCCAAAATAATTTTAGATCAGACATCACAGAAAACATCCTTCAATTCACAAAGCAAAAAATATTAGAGAAAAATTTCAAAGAATGGGGAAAATGAGAGGAAACTAAACCAAGACTTGGGAAATTATTGAGATCAATTTTTATGCACAACGATTCCCCTGATTGTTTTCCAACAGTACCTTTTCATGATTTCTAAAATAATATACACCTAATATCATTTTATAACTAAGTTAACCTATACGAATGAGTTTTTAAAGACACAAGAACTAATTGATGGGTTGCAAGCATTCCCAAGAGAGTTAAAAGACTAAAACATGGTGGCCATTGTGGTACAGTTTACAATGGATGTTAATGAGAAATTTTTTGTTAAATGGTACCAACATGGCCGTGATGACGTAAGATACAAACGAAGAATAGTAAAAATGGGATGTCACTAGTTATACAACCACRAAGGAGCAAAAACTATGAATTATAGAAGCATTTAATTAATATTTTGAATCAAAAATTGGAATTATTTTGATTTTAGAAGAGTTTTTGCAAGCAATCATTTATTTCTACATTCTAGAAAACTCAAATTTCACTCACTTCTAATTCACCTTTTCAGCGCTAGCCCTCGAGGGGTATAAATTGTTTTAGATTGTGTTACGGTCACTAAAAAGTTCGGAAATCGTTCTCGAATTTCCGTACAAATGTACTGACTCTAAATGAAMTATTTTCTTGGTTGATGTTAAGTAAAGTTCTCTAAATAGGTAAAAATGATCTTTTTTCTAGCTTGATTGAAGCTTTTTCTACTGCTGTTAAGATAGTTAAGTAAAGAAATCTACCTAAATTTTCTCTTTAAAGTCAGTGAATTTGTATGGAAATCCGAGAACGATATCAGAACTTTTTGGTGACCGTAAAACAATCCAGGCTAGCGCCGAAAAGCTAAATTGAATAGCTTTTCTTATGTTCTTAAGGCTTTAAACATCTATTTTCAATCATTTTTATCCTAGCTGTCTGACAACGAAACGAAAAGCCATGTTACACTTGTCACTTTTAAACACTTCAAAATATATATCTTTTTAAATTGCATGGTTATTCATTTATAAATAAGTAAATTACGAGCCTTAGATGAGCCTTATCCATTGCATATTTAAGGAATATAAAACGCACACGAATGTCTCTGTACTGTGACATAAACACGCTATTGTATATTTTCTATAAGCCAAATTCTTCAAAAAAATATATTGCCACAAAACAAACCCCAAAGCAGTGTTGGGTTTTATGTTTTCTTCGGAGGGGTAAGTGAGTACACGTTTTTGTCTTCAAACTACGGAGAAAATAAGTTTAAGAAATACTTTAAAAGATATTGTAAATTGAACAACGATATCCGAAAAAGTATTAATACCCTTCTTTAGGCCTGTTCAACGATTAAAACCCATTCTACGAACACAAAATGGATGCTTGAAATAAGCGACGAGCGACTTCACACGTGTCACAATTAATGGTCGCTAATTTAACGACAAGACCACAAATATCAGGAAAAAAGGCTTACAGAGAAGATGAAACATTTAGATTCAATATTTCAAGGGTTCTTTTAAGGTTCTGAACGTTTCTTACCGTAAAGAAATAGCGATTTTCGTCTCCCTTCAAACTTGACGCGGCCATTTTGTTCTTGTGTATTGCTTACCCATAAAACCGTGCGCGATTATACTCAACGCAGGGCGAACTTTTTGGCGTGGAACCTTAGAACGACGGAATGGCGGAATGGCGAAATATTCTAAAACGCGCAATACACGAAAAAATATATATTTATAACACAAAATAGGTCCAGAATTTAAAAACTCGCCACCCTGAACTCCAATGTATACCAATAAATGAGTGAATGCTAATAAATAAATGAGTGGACCGCTTCTTTGTAATACTACATCCTGGCAGCTGTCGCTTTACTCACCTCATCTGGCAAACATCAATAATTAGACTACCCTGTCTGCTTGCAGGGTATGAATAGCCATACAGCTATGTATAAATATTTAGGATATCCATCCTTCATTTTGTTTGTGTGTTTGTTTTTTGTTTTTATACTTTTGAACTCTACCCTAACTTAAACCACATATTCTTATTTCCCTTAATCCTAACCCTAACCCTTATTTTCGTACCCTAACTCTAACCCTAATTCTGGTACCCCTAACCCTAACCCTAACAATATATTCTCGTACACCTAACCCTAACCCTAACAATATATTCTCGCACACCTAACCCTAACCCTAACCATATATTCTCGCACACCTAACCCTAACCCTAACCATATATTCTCGCACACATAACCCTAACCCTAACAAGATATTCTCGTACACCCAACCCTAACCCTAACAATATATTCTTGTACACCTAACCCTAACCCTAACAATATATTCTCGTACACC